AGCTTCCTCCCCACCTCCCCCCCAAAGAGCGACAGGCGATGAGAATTGGGTCAGAATTAGCAACTCTTTAAGCCAATTTGGATGCGTTTTAATGGCGGGGGAAGTGTGGGAGATGCATGGGAACTAAGTTATGGGATTGGACAAGTGCTGGCGGGCTCCGAGATCTCTGCAAGAATGCATTATTGTGGAAAAAACAGAAAAAAGATTTTGATCTGCATAGAAATGGATAAATTAACTAAATGAAATTGAAATCTTAAGAATGATGCATGTCATTAAATAGAAGATATGTGTGTAGATGAGTTGATGTGTGTGACGATAGAAATATCTGACATTTGTTCAGCGAAAATATCAGATTTTTACCCGAAATATTTATAATAATTTTAATTAAGGCAGTGGCAAAAATTAATTAAAATTCTCCAACTTCAAATGGCACTTGGGAGCATTCCCACTGCAACAATTTAGAGGCTGCCTTTTTGTACTTTCCCCTGACATTGCTACAAATACCAAAAAAATAAATTAAATACCTCGAAAACAAAAACACAACGAAAAATTCCCCGGCAACTGTAAATTGTGTGAAAAATGGCAAGCAATTTTCTCACACACTCGCTGATACGTACAGTCAGTCATATGTTGATGGGCCAGACAATATGAAGATGTTTATAATATTATAATTAATTATGATTTTCTGAATGCTTCAAAGCCTCAAAGTCAAAGCAAAGTTCAATGCCAAAGCGAAAACAAACACAGACCAAAACAAAAGCCGCCGACCAAAAAGCACATTTTGAATGCAACTCCCAGCTGATAATGCTTAATTATATACACATAAAGCGCAGCTTCAGCCAAACAAAAAAAAAAAACCAGAACAATGGCCGCAGAAAAGATGAACAAAATTGTAAAACGAAACCCGAAGATAATTCACACGGTTCGAGCACTTGAGCAAAGGGCATAAAAAGGCGAGCAATGAAACCAATAAACTCCATTGAAAGCTTGGCAAACAAATTTAATGAAGGTGATTATGATTTTTAGACCCAGATAGATATTTTCTTAAACAGTCGATGGTCGATAGATATAGTCTATCTTCAGCGATAAACAAAATCGTTGGTAGCAAACATCGCACTCAAGGCTCAGCCAAATTTGTATTTTAAATGGGTTTATACTATAAGCATTCATCTGGAATTTCAGACACGAGTCAATATTATGCTAATTCGGGCTAGTTACGATCTAAGTGCCACAATTGCACTTGTAATGCACTCTAAGGGCGAGCGTGGCTGAGATTGGCATCAAACAAGCAAATTATATTGCCAAAATAATTGCCACAATTAACCCAACAATGTCGAATGCCGAATCTATCGTAAAAAGCGCACAAAAAAATCAAAAGCAACAGTCATTAAGCCAAAAAGAGCAAGCAGCAATTAAATGTTTATGCCTGTGAAATACCCTTACCGAAAAAGGTTTCTTGTAACTTACAGAAATTTATTCAAAAATAAATTAAATAATAAATATATACAAATATATATAAATAATATTTACTGCTCTCTGAAAAATAAATCTACATCAAATTAATTTCACAAACAAATAAATTATATATTGCAATAATATTTGTCTGGTAACAGAGAAAACAAAACAAAAATTGATCGCGTAAACAAACAAACTAATTAGAACTTAAATGAGGCGATCGATTTGCTATCTGCTAATTCCAACGAATTTATTTACTAATAAAAACATATTTTTATTCCTAAACTACAGAGAAAGAAATAACAATTTAAGCAAATAACTTTCGCCTATGATTCATGGGATCGATCGTGCTCGTTCAGATTTTGGAAAAATAACAAATAAATTTGTTATACAATTGTGTAAATATTTGCTTCTCATGAACCCAATTACAGAGATCCCTTGAAAACCAGATGAACCACGGCCCTTGAATCTCAACGATTCCCAAGTGGAAGTTACCCATTTTTGTGCTTCACTTTCGACTTACAGTGAATATACCCCTTGAGTGATTGAGCACTCGGATCTCCTTACTGGCGTATTGATGTCTCATCTGGCATTCATTTTTCATCACACTTTATTTACCCAACAATTTCAGTTCGCCGCAAAACAATTATCTCAAAAAAAAACGAGGCTGCTGTTTGTAAACTCATTTGCATATATATTTTTGCACAACAGCACAAATAAAATAAAGCCTTATAAATATATAGATATATATAAACTAAAGTAGCCCAAAGCGAGATCAGCTCGGCTCATAAACAAATTGATTAGCGTCTTTAGCGTTGCAGCAAGAGCAAAAGAGCAGCCTCAACAAAGCCCACTCGGCACACAAAAATAAATGGTGATGGATCATGAATAAATTGCTGCGATTTGATAGCGGAACCGGGCTGTTGCCAAGCACGGGGATCCAAAAGTCTGGGCATCATCCTTCCAAAGAGTTCGCAGTTGTGTGCGACATGCTGGGACACACCTCTGTACTCTATACTCTATAGATGGGGTGATCTCTTCACACCCGGCACGTGTTGAGTTAGTTTCTGCTCAAATAAAAAATAAATCAATTAGCAGGCTGAGTAACATCAGCGGCCCAGCCCTTGCCAATCTTCTTTATCCATCCAGATGGTGATAACGATATGGGAATATATTATCTTAAGCATATTTGAATGGGTTTTCGACTTTTTAAAAATTTTTTAAAAATATTTCAGTGTTATTTTTGTTGATTGTTTGGTTGGCATCGTTTTTCTAAGTTTTACAAAAGTCCAATTGAAAGTTTCAATTTGAAACACAATAAAGATTTATAGAATAAGTTAAGTTTTTAAGATATTATAACTACGTCTCAGTTGTCTAATCATGAACTCTTTTCCCTTTTTCAGATACATTACACCGGCAGCAGCGGCTACGGCAACGGCAACCTCATCAACCTCAGCGGCAGGAGGAGTCGGTGGCACTAATCTGGCGGTTTATCCCACGGCCACCGCCCAGGTATATCGCTCCAACAACGGCCTGGATGTTCTGGACTGCGCAGGGCTTGAACACCACAATGCGGCCACGACCTCCGGACATTCCGGCAGCGGCTTCTCCCAGCGCCTCAGGGAACTGGCCGCTTCCGCCGGACTGCTCTCCCTGAAGCCCCGTCAGCCTCTCAAGCCGGTGATCAAGACGCGCGGCTCCCCCGGACCGGAGTTCCCCAAGAAGGTCACCTTCAGTGCCTTCGCCACCGTCCAGGTGGTGTGAGTGGGCGCGAACAGTGGGTCTAGCATCTGTGGCATCTGTGCAGGCACAGAGCAAGGTGGGTTAAGTATATAAATGTATTTTAGTATTTAGGCAATACTCAGAATGTTATTCAAACAACAGAAATGTAATCGTTTTATTATGTAAATAATAGAACAAAGCTGATATGCAAGTGTCTCGACTATCTGATACCCGTTAGCTCTACGAGTAAAAAAGGTCCAGACATTTGTGATTGTTTGTATAATTATAAGCCTTTTTTGAACATTTTAATATTAATTTTTAAATAGATACTAATACATTTCTCTTCTTTTCTTTTCATTTCAGTTTCATCTTGCACTTGTTAACCATTATTTGTTGTTGTTTTTATACTTGTTGCTGTTGTTAAATGTTTAGCCAAAACTGTGGGAATAATAAACGGAGAAAAATTCCTGAAAATCTAAAAAAAAAACATAAATTGTTGTGCCATGTCTGTGGCTCGAAATAAAAATGAAAACCATATAGAAATGAATAACACACCCCATAGCTGAAGAAATTACCTCAAGGACCTAAAATCTTCATCTGCCTTTACCTTATCTATGCTATATCTATACATCTTTCTTTGGTAGACTGATTTTTCAACAACTTTTCTTATAGTTCCTTTCGATCACCCTCTACTAAAACAGTATTTTCCATCTTTCTCCATCTTTCAATCACTTTCCTCACAAACACACCCGAAAACATTGTAAAATACAAAGACTATAAACGCAGAAATTCTAAATATTTTCTATTAAATTGTAAATATGTATGAATTTTTGCTTATAACAATAAAAACAGCAAATATAGTCATAAATATATGTATCCATATAATATGTAAGTCTGTTTTGTGTATGTGTGTATATATATATAAACCAAGATTTTGCATTGATTATTTCATAGGGGATGAAAAACACCTTTCGAATCCACACAAATTTTAAGCGAAACTGCTGTATATTGTATTTAAAGTATAATAAAATGTATTATTTAAGCCTAATATTATGCATGATTAATAATAAATAAAATATGATATGATAAAACCAATCAGCGTTTGTTTCTTTATTGGGGATTACTAAAATAGAATATGGATTACAAATAAAAGGAATTTGCTCCCAAACTTCCAAACGTTGCGTAATTGCAAAAGGGTTAAACCTGATTTTATACTTTTTGGTTGAACAGTGTTTTCAAATTCAACTTCCCGCCAAAGTGTAACGAAAATTTGGATCGCTGTTAACAGAGGAATAATTTTTACATAGGGCTAGTGTGGAGTTCAGTGGCGGATTTAGGATTTTGTTGTGGAGGGTTATATCAGAACAATTTTTTTGTTGCATACTTTTGAATAGCAAAATTCCTTTCATTTTTTACCCGAGTGGGGGGTGATATATCAGCCATATCAATCCCGTGGATCCGCGCATGGTGGAGTTGATTCAAAATTACAAACATCCCAAGTTTTGTAGTGCACCTTAACGAAGCTCGATTTTCTCGCACTCAAAATGTGAAAAATGATAATAATGGAAAACTGCTGTTAAATTTTCTGAAAGCTTACCGATATTTCATTGCATTCTGAATGTCATGTCAAATTATTAAAATTTTTGAATTTAGGCGCCATACATTCTTTCTCTTCCGGGTTTGATTAGGTATTTTAGTATTTGGTTTGGTTTAGTGGTATATAAAATAAATACCGAAAAATCCCTGCGAAAACGAGTTATCGATAGTTAACATTGTTATGCGGCAACCCTGCACTAATCGATTGACTCATATCGATATATTCCCGCCATTCCCGCTTTAATCAGTCAGCCCTGGTCATAAAATAAATGAAATCTGCAGCACAACACGGGGAAAATTAACAAAGTCAGCCGATTGCGATGTCTGAATCACCTTGTAAGTAGCTTAAATAGCATCTATAAACATGGTACCTTACTGGACTATCTATTTTCAGCTGGTCCGCGCGTTAAGCGCCAGCGAATAGACAAAAATGGGAGGTTCGCCGCCATGGAGCGGCTGCGTCAGCTGAAGGGAACCAAGAACAAATGCCAGGTGGAGGACCAGGTGGACGATGTGTACGATGTGGTGGATGAGCGGGAATACGCCAAGCGGGCGCAGGAGAAGTACGGCGACGATTGGATCGAAGAGGGTGAGTGAGGGTATAGGGAGCACCCATAACATACTACGGGGCTCCTTTTTAAAGATACGAATATAAAGCAAATATCCCCTTTCAGATGGCACTGGCTACGCAGAAGATCTGCGGGATTTCTTCGAGGATGAGGATGAGTACTCCGAGGGCGAGGAGGATCGCAAAGACTCCAAGAAGAAGAAGGGCATTGCACCCAACAGCAAGAAGAGACCCCGGGAAGCCGAGAAGCCAGCCAAAGGAAAGGCCTCCATCAAGAATCTCTTTAGCAATGCGGTTCCCAAGAAAGCGGACATCAAGAACAGTGTGAAAGATGATGATATTCTGGCTGACATATTAGGTGAAATTAAGGAGGAGCCCGCAGAGACGTCTGAGAAAGTGGAAAAGGTCATAGCGCCGGCGAAAATAGCTGTGGCCTCGCGAAAATCCGACGCCGCCGCTGCCAAGGAGTATATGAATAGTTTCCTCAACAACATCAAAGTTCAGGAGCAGGAACGCAAGAAGGCGGAGGCCAGCAGTGATCACGAGATGCTGGAGCGCATCCTCAAGCCCAAGGCAGCAGTCCCCAACACAAAGGTGGCCTTTTTCTCCTCACCAACTCCAGCGATCAAGAAGGAACCTTTGCCGGAAAAGAAGCCTGTCAAAGAGGCAACGGAAGATCCCTTCTCCGACAACGATATGGATTTCAGCTGTCTGGATGACGATGAAAACCAGTTCGATGTGGAGAAGGAGCAGCTCGAGCCTTCTGTTTCCCAAGCAAAGTCAGCAGCCAAGGCCCCTGAAAAAGTATCTCCCAAAATAGAGCCAACTGGTTCCCCCAAAGAAAGTGAACCGGAGGACATGAGCAAGCTGCTCAACAATTGGGAGTCCATCTGCCAAATGGACGATGACTTTGAAAAGTCCGTGACCACCACGGATCAGGAAACGCCCATTTCGTCCGAGGAGCAGCTGCGCTTCTGGTACTGGGAGGCTTGGGAGGATCCAATAAAGCTGCCCGGCGAAGTCTTCCTCTTCGGACGCACCGCCGATGGAAAGTCCGTCTGTGTGCGGGTGCAGAACATCAACCGAGTGCTGTATTTGCTTCCCCGGCAATTTGTGAGTTTTTTATTAATTTTAAATATATTTCAAATTTTTCTATATTTATTTTGCTCTATTTTATATTATAGTAATATGAATAATGTTCTTCTATAAGCAATAATTTCTTGAGAACTTAACTTTATGATTAAAAACCCTACATATTTCTCTAGCAACCCCGCTTGCCCTAAAAAAAAGTATTATTTCAAATTTTTTCCATATTTATTTTGCTTTATTTTATATTATAGTAATACGAATAATGTTCATCTATAAGCAATAACTTCTTGAGAACTTAACTTTATGATTAAACACCTTACATATTTGTCTAGCAACCCCGCTTACTATAAAAAAGTATTATTTCAATTTTTTCTATATTTATTTTGCTTTATTTCATATTATAGTAGTACGAATAATGTTCATCTATAAACAATAACTAATTAAACACCTCCACATATTTCTCTAGCCATCTCGCTTACTATAAAAAAGTATTTAAAATTAATTTAATATTGCTCTATAAATTAAATTCAAATTAATTTTCCAGCTCCTGGACCCCATTTCAAAAGAGCCCACCAAGCAAAAGGTGACCGTGGCAGATATCTACAAGGAGTTCGACAGCGAGGTGGCCAGCGAGCTAAAACTGGACACCTTCCGATCCCGCAAGGTCACCAAGAGTTTCGCCCACCACGCCATCGGTATTGAAGTGCCCCAAACTTGCGACTACCTGGAAGTTCACTACGATGGCAAGAAACCGCTGCCGAATTTGTCGGCTGGCAAGAAATACAATTCCATAGCGCATATTTTTGGTGCCACCACGAATGCGCTGGAACGTTTTCTCCTGGAACGGAAGATCAAGGGACCCTGCTGGTTGCAGGTGAGCGGATTCAAGGTGAGCCCGGCTCCCATGAGTTGGTGCAAAACCGAGGTCACCCTGGCAGAGCCGAAGAATGTGGAATTGGTGCAGGATAAGGGCAAACCAGCGCCACCACCGCCGCTAACTCTACTGGCACTCAATGTGCGCACCTCGATGAATCCGAAAACCTCGAGAAACGAGATCTGCATGATTTCGATGCTCACCCACAATCGTTTCCACATCGATCGTCCTGCCCCGCAGCCCGCCTTCAATCGACATATGTGCGCCTTGACTCGACCGGCGGTGGTTAGTTGGCCCCTGGACTTGAACTTTGAGTTAGCCAAGTATAAGTCCACCAAAATATATAAGCACGATTCGGAGAGAGCTTTATTGAGTTGGTTCTTGGCTCAGTACCAACAAATAGATGCCGATCTCATTGTGACCTTTGACTCCATGGATTGCCAGCTGAATGTGATTACCGATCAAATTGTGGCCCTGAAGATTCCTCAATGGTCGCGCATGGGTCGTCTCAGGATGACCCAATCGTTTGGCAAGCGTTTGTTGGATCACTTTGTGGGCAGAATGGTTTGTGACGTAAAGCGTTCGGCGGAGGAGTGCATAAGAGCCAGATCCTACGATCTACAAACCCTTTGCAAGCAGGTCCTGAAGCTCAAGGAGTCGGAGAGAATGGAAGTTAATGCCGATGATCTGCTGGAGATGTATGAAAAGGGCGAGAGCATCACCAAGCTCATTTCCCTAACCATGCAGGATAATTCCTACCTGCTGCGGCTGATGTGTGAGCTGAATATAATGCCGTTGGCCCTGCAAATCACGAATATTTGTGGCAACACAATGACCAGGACCCTTCAAGGAGGTCGCTCCGAACGGAATGAGTTCCTCTTGCTGCATGCTTTCCATGAGAAGAACTACATAGTGCCGGACAAGAAGCCGGCATCCAAACGAGGTGGTGGAGCTGGCGGCGATCCCGAGGCCACACTTTCTGGCGCCGATGCCACTTTGCCAGCCAAAAAGAAGGCAGCCTACGCCGGTGGTTTGGTACTGGAACCGATGCGGGGTCTCTACGAGAAGTTTGTCCTGCTGATGGACTTCAACTCCCTGTATCCGAGCATCATCCAGGAGTACAACATATGCTTTACCACTGTGCAACAGCCCGTGGATGCGGATGAACTACCCACCCTTCCGGATTCGAAAACAGAAGCTGGTATCTTACCCCTTCAATTAAAGCGCTTGGTGGAATCGCGAAAGGAGGTGAAAAAGCTAATGGCAGCGCCTGATCTTTCGCCTGAACTGCAGATGCAGTACCACATTCGACAGATGGCTCTGAAGCTGACTGCTAACTCCATGTACGGCTGCCTGGGATTCGCCCATTCGCGGTTCTTTGCCCAACACCTGGCCGCTTTGGTCACCCACAAGGGCAGGGAAATCCTCACGAAATACCCAACAGCTGGTGCAAAAGCTTAACTACGATGTGGTCTATGGCGACACAGATTCCCTGATGATCAATACCAATATCACGGACTACGATCAGGTCTACAAGATTGGTCACAGCATCAAGCAGAGTGTAAATAAACTGTACAAGCAGCTGGAGTTGGACATTGACGGGGTCTTTGGCTGTCTGCTGTTGCTGAAGAAAAAGAAATATGCCGCTGTTAAGTTGAGCAAGGACTCCAAGGGCGTCCTGAAGCGGGAACAGGAACACAAGGGCCTGGATATAGTTCGCCGTGATTGGTCGCAGCTGGCTGTGATGGTGGGCAAAGCTGTGCTCGATGAAGTGCTGGCCGAGAAGCCGCTGGAGGAAAAACTCGAAGCAGTGCATGCGCAACTGGAGAAGATCAAAAATCAAATAACCGAGGGTGCCGTGCCTCTGCCCTTGTTTGTCATCACCAAACAGCTAACGCGGGCTCCCCAGGAGTATGCCAATAGCGCCTCATTGCCCCACGTCCAGGTGGCTCTTCGCATGAATCGGGAGAGGAACAGGCGCTACAAGAAGGGCGACATGGTGGACTATGTGATCTGTTTGGATGGCACCACAAATGCCGCCATGCAGCGAGCCTACCACCTGGATGAGCTGAAGAGTAGCGAGGAGAAGAAGCTGCAGCTGGACACAAATTACTACCTGGGACATCAGGTGCACCCGGTGGTCACGCGCATGGTTGAGGTGCTGGAGGGAACCGACGCAAGTCGCATAGCCGAGTGTCTCGGCATGGATCCCAGCAAGTTCCGGCAAAATGCTCAGAGGTATGTAAAGTTTATAAAGCCATCTTAAGGGTTCCTTCCTCTTACATTTCATTTGTGTTACCTTTACAGAGTCCAGCGTGAGAATACGGAGCAGTCGGAAGGCGAATCGCTACTCAAGACCACCCTCCAATTGTACCGCCTTTGCGAACCTTTCCGCTTTCAGTGCATAGCCTGCAAGACGGAGCAGCTGATGGCCAGTGCCTACCGTCCGGGACCCAGCAGTTCGCACATCTCGGTGCTGCAGCAATGCGCGAATTCCGAGTGCCAAACGGCACCAGTTGAGTACCTGGCCAGCGTCCGCAATCAGTTGCAACTTTCCATTCGCCGGTTTGTCCAGCGATTCTATAAAAATTGGCTGGTTTGCGATCATCCGGATTGCAACTACAACACCCGCACACACACGATGAGGAAGGAGATGCGGCGACCGCTGTGCCAAAAGTGCCGCAGCGGCAGCCTGCTGCGTCAGTATACGGAGCGGGACCTGTACAATCAGCTCTGCTACCTGCGATTCATGTTCGACCTGGGCAAGCAACAGCTGCAGCAAAAACGTAAGTGAAACATAGAGAATATATTTATAAATATTATCTAGAAATCCACAAAATTATTACAATGATATTGATACGTAAAGAAGAATAGTCCATGAAACATAGCAGTATATTGGAAAAACTAAAAGAAATCTATATCTTTTAGTTTCAAATATTGGTAATTGTTCTTCATTAAATAACCTACATATTTTGTTATTTTATTAATTAAATTATTTCAATTAAATTGAGACGTAAAGTAGAATAGTCCATGCTGATTATCTTCATTCATTGACTGATGAGAAACATGGCAGTATATTTTAAAAAGAAATCTTATATCTTTTAGTTTCAAATATTGGTAATTGTTCTTCGTCAAATAACCTACATTTTTTATTTGTCTAGCCACACTAACGCCGGAACTGGAGCAGGCCTACCAGCTTCTATACGAGACTGTGGACCAGCAGCTGCAGAGCTCCTCCTACGTGGTCATCTCGCTAAGCAAACTCTTTGGCCGCACCCTGGCCCTGATGTCCCTGCAACCGCCTCGACCCCGACCCCACAACGAATTGATCGCCAGTACTTTGGCAGATGTCGTCTAAGTGTTTAATTAACTAGCCTTTGTTAGAAGATCCATTAAAAATACTACAAAACAAATACGATTAACTAGATGAGGTCACGTGGCGAGGAACTTCTCGAGGGGAAAGTGTCGAAAGGATTCGTTGAAAATGTCCGTAAACGCGGTGCTGACCAGCTCGTTAATCATCGGCTTGATGAACGGCAATCCCAGCTGCCACATGCTGTTAATGACTCCATCGGCCAATTGATTAAGCGGCTGTCCCTGCAGCAGATTCTCAATGTGCAGCTCCATTCCGCCGATCTTATCCACCTCGACGTGAACCTTGATCAGCGAGCCTGGGTCCCCGATTCGTCGCACGCTGGTAGTTTGACTGAGGAGGAAAAATATAAAATGAGTATAAAGATCAGTTGGGAGCAGCACAGAAAAAAATATTTTTTAAAGATCAAGTTATTCATATCACTTTGATATGAATAAAGTTATTTTTTACATTATTTGCTCAAAAAATACAACATTTGATATTTTTTGATATGATAAAATATCATGTTGATATGTTTGAATCTCAAATTTGACATAAATCATACCGGCTTTTTATTGATATGAATTAAGGTAGAAATACCCCTATTTTATATCGGTTTTTATTTCTGTGAGTGGAGTCAAAGTGCTAGCAAAACAATACCCATGTTGGCAACACAGCTTGGGAAATATTTTCCATGCGACGCCCTGCTCACCTGTAGTCGTAAAGGGTGAGGTTCCAGTGGCCCTTTCGGTTCATCTCCGTGCCCAGCATCTTGGCGGCGAACTCGTACTCGCCCTCCAGGCTCTTCTCCGGGAAATACTGGGTGTAGACGATGCGGCTGTCCTCGGGATCGGCGTGGAACTTGGTCACCTCGGAGCGTGCCCATCCGAACTCGGAGACATTGCGCAAGATCAGACGAAAGCTGCCCAGGCCGTGTGACTCACCTCGCCGCAACTCCACATAGGTACAGTGATGCGGGTCAAAGGGCTTGATGTTGTAGTCGGGCACACCTGAAAGAGTAACCCCATGATTGCGCGCGCCTGTAATTCAAATCTCACTCACCTGTGGTGAAGTAGGCCCTTAGATCGTTGAACACCTGTCGCATGCACTCGTTAAAGTCCTCGTCCGTCTTTTGGCAACGGCCCAGCAGATGCCTGAGATCCGCATCCACATCGATCTGGCTGGAAGCGCTTGCCAGGTGAGTGGCAAAGAGCAAGATCCCCGCCAGGTAAATCAAAAGCCTGGCACAGTTTGAGGGCCACTGTTGCGACATGTCGATGGTCTGAGTTTGGCAGCAACTGTTTGGCGACCGTTAATTGCTAAGGTAAGTAGAGGTAAAGTTTTTATTGTTTATGTGACTTTGCTCGCGTTTTGTTTATATTTAGTTTTAAGTAAATTGCCGTTTTTTTGTGGGCGTGAAGAGCCACTGGTATTTGTGGTTCAAAGTGTCCTTGGTTTTGCACACAGTTTGCGGATAGCCTATAGCACATAAATATTAATTAGATTTACAGTTTTGGATTATCACTCAGCCAATTTTACTTTCATTATTAAAAAAATAAAAAAAGCAAAGGATAATATGGATAACACTACACAGTTGTTTACAATTACAGTCTTATAAGGACTTGTAGTTTTTACTTCCTCTTTAAAACTTGTTTTCTGAAATGTGTAAAGTTTCAAATTACACGAAATTTAAAATTCAAAATAGTGTTTTAATGTCAATATTTATCAGACAATAAATTTGTAATTGTTTCTTTTTTTAATTTTCTACCGCAGAAAGTCACTTTTATTCATTGAAATTAACTTATTGTCTTTCAGTAATTGTAATTAACAGTAATTCTTTTGTTTTCTAAGGTTTAACCTATTTCATTGATTTTAATTAAATACAAGGAAATGGTAGTGGAATCTACCATTAACCTTTAACAACTTATAGTTTTTAACTGATTTGTTTATAACTGGCGAATAAAAGTTGTAAAATACTCATTTGGGGATTTTTTCTCCAAAAAAGTATTGTAGCTATTTTTCTTGCACTTCCTTGTTCAGTTGTTTTTTATTAAATTAAAATTTTGTGATCTTTAAACTTTTTTTAGTTGAAGAATCCTACAAATTACTCTGTATTAATATCCGAAAGTTTTAATCGCACAAAAATTAAATCTTATCTCACAGCACTAACCAAAAAAGTCTCTTTTCATGGCAAACACATGTATGTACTTTTCAAACAACCCTCATCTTCATGTAATTTGTTTGGTAATCTTTTTGTTTGCGGCCTGCACTTGACCCCTTTAACTTAAGCGTACAGATTATTACTGGTCTCAGTGCTGCAACAAATCCACAGCACGAAAAGAAAACTATGAATAGGCCAAAAATGTACGATAGTGTAGAAACATAGTAACAGTGGTAAACGAAAGACTTAAGACACAAACTTGGGGGTGCCAACAACTTTTATTTCCACTTTGGGGCAGCCACTCATGCAACACGAAAGCAACAACGTATGATAATATTTGGCAATTCTTCAGTTTAGCGCTTGCAATTGCAGTTGACCAACGGTCAGTTATCCAACCAAACAAGTTACCTAGATATTGAGTTTAGCTAAGTTCGGGAAACTCCAAAGCCTCACAGTCACTCCTATGCTATTTATTATTTTGGTTATTCCGAAAATGCTATGACCAAATATGAATTTCTGGAACTCGTATGCAAAGGCGCGCAAAAATTCGAGAATAACAATAATAATAATTGTACTGTTATTTGAGCCGAATACGCGACGTGAATCAGTCGAGCTGCCGTAGCCAACTGAACCACGCCAAGTCTGGGGAATCGAGAGAAAAAGAGCTTCCACCAAAAGTGGCAACAGCAGCCAAATGAGCCATAATAAAAAAAAGCCACACAAAGTAGCAGGAAAATGTTTGAAATCCATGAAATGCCCGGCCACAAACTTGAGCTTTGTCAACTCGGTTTTGAGTTTGACACCCTCTGGTCGCGTTTCCTCATACCCAACTTAAAAATCAGAAACAAAAACAAACCAAACAGTCGTAAATCACTGCCAAAAGTCATTCATAAATACATTTAGAAGCGCGTAGAAGTTTTTGACTGGGAGGGTTGCGACTTAGCGATACACTTCATTGTACATAAAAAAAATGTATTAAAAAAAAAAAGATAAGATCTTGGATCAGAAAAGAGAATTTAACATTTACAAAAATAATTTAAAAATTGTTTTTCTTGAATGGTGATTTAAAATTGATCAAAAATTGTATATTCTCCTTATACCTTCTTTCCGAGCAATAACCGATCATCGCTGGCTGAAAAGTGATCTGAATTTAATTAGGCAAGCCCATATCCGCCTAAGGTAATATTTTTAAGTATCAAATCAAGTACTCACAACCAGCTCTCAAGTTCATGGAATTGATTAAATTGAGCTTCGTGATTGACAACCGCGCGTGTTTAAAATGTAACGATTGACAGAAAAGCTGACGATGTCAGCGAGAAGAAGATTATGTGGACTGCCTTTTGCCAAATGGATCTACAAGGTTGCAGCTTCAGTTGTTATGGCTGATTGCAAATTAATGAAAGGACAAGGTCGCTCTTACAGAAATTTAAAACGGGGCTAAAAAAAATACTCGAGCACTTTGTAGTAGTTTAATTGCGATAACAAATGATGTTCATAAACTGGAAATTCTGCTTTAATTTCTGTTTAAAGTGCTTCATTTTATTGCAGTTATACCCTTATAGATAACTTTGTTCAAAAACTTTGGAATTTTACGCACTTCTTTTGACGATATACCAAGAAATTGTAATCCGAGCATTCAAAAGATACAAGACACAAGTATCTTCTGTTAAAAATCATTAAAAATAATTAATAATAATTATATAAAAGCAATAAAAATAAGGGCATTTAATATATTTTCTTAAGTTCTATTCTTGATTTTTGAAAATAACTTTATTAAATGTTTGATTTTATCCTTAAAAAAATAGTTTGTATTCTGAAAAAGATTAGAACAATCATATTTTGTAACATTTTTGTTTTTATTTTTATGAATTAAAACAATTAAATTTAAATTAGATTAGACTTTTCTTATTGGAAATTCAGTATTTTCTTGGCAAGGCGGGAACTGGTATTTTTCACTAGCATGTTGAGGGTCATACTGTGCGGTTGCTGGTTTGTTTATAGTTATTTAGCGGCCAATTTTGCGTTAATTTAAGTTATATAGCAATAATGGAGGTGGAATTTAGCAAGGAGAACTTTCTTCTGCCGGAGGTGAAGTACGAGTGTGAGTAGATCCGCGATTTGTAAGGGGAACCACCTGTTGCTAAGTATTTCATCATATTGTTTTGCAGACCTGGATCACACGGCGGATGTGCAGTGAGTAACCAACAACAACACAGCTGGGTGACCATGTGGAGTAGGGTGGTTCGATATCTATAAGTATAGAAATAAAAACAGAAGTCTTATTAGAATTTCTGTCTTCGTAAATGAGGTCTAACATTATGCTTGATTTACAGTTTTTAGTGTTCTTTATTTCAAGATGAGAATATTTTTCTTAAAAAATTAAATTATAAATATTTGCTACTAAAATTAGTAGCAAACGGGTAAGCTTTATCTTTTAAATTTTGTGATTAATTTTTTTTTTCGTTCCGTGCTTTAAAGTTTGATTGAAGGTTACATGGAATGCGGCAAAAAAATTATGTTTTTTACTTTTCCTTAATTACTAATGTATGGGATCTATACCTTTGTAAGATTTATGTTTTTCGAAATTACGTCCGGTCACCTAAGTTATCAACAAATTATCTTAACATTTTTATTCAGTTAACTTAAAGAATAAATCTGTCACGGATTAGTCCTACCTAAATGATTAAATATTAGTTTCTAAAGTTTTAAAACTTAAATCAAACATTCTGAAAATTAATGTGCAAAACAATGCCCATATACTTCTTATAAAATTGATATCCTTATAAAACAAACTCTTAAGAGTTGATATGCTTTAAATAAAATTTATTATTTACTTTATTATTTAAATTACTATTCAATAAATCAGTACTAACTTAAATTATAGCCTCGATGACTGTTTTACAGTGCTAATTTATTTAATATTTATTAATATATTGTCTCCCATTTACCAGACTTCACAGCTGGGGAACGAGTCTGAAGGAGGCGTTCGAACAGTGTGGAGTGGCCATGTTTGGATATATGACCGAGCTGGATTACGTGTCCGTGGAGCAGTGCTTCGAAATAGAAGCGCAGGGCGATGATCTGGAGGGACTACTCTTCCACTTTCTCGACGAGCTGCTCTTCCTGTTCTCCGCCGAACCATATCTGGTATGCAAAAAGCTGGAGATAACCAAGTTCGATTTGGAATCCTTCGAGATCTCCTGCCGTTGTTACGGGGAACCCTTCGAGCTGGGAAAACATCCGCAGGGCACCGAGGTGAAGGCAATCACGTACTCGGCCATGCAAATCGTTCAGGACGCGGAGGCCAGCAACTACGAGGTGTTTGTGATAATTGACATTTGATCCAGCAGCGGTCGCCGGGAATTAAATGTGACTGTTCTGTTTCAACCCCTTTGCCTGTCTCCATTAATCATAAGTGAAATGCCGAAAAAAAACGATATAAAAACCGCTGCATAAGCCCGAAAATTTGCAATCTCTCGTGCTGCGACTGCATCCCTTGTCGATGAGGATGACTTATCAAGAAACCACTCGATTGTGCGGCTGCAAATGCAATTAGGACTGGCTCCCTTCTCACCGGTATGATTCCAGAATCAAGATTTACCCTTTTGCCTCTGGACTTTTTGTGTAGTATTCTCTTTTTTGCGCACGGCTTTGTGAATTGGCAACGTGTTGAATTCCCAGAGAAACGCCGAATTTGTTGTCCTTTCCCAGACCGCAGTTCAATGAACTCCTTTCATTTGGACAACCTTCGCTGCAAGAGCGTTGTGTTTAATTAAGGGGGTTTGCAGTGAAGTAATAAAAAAAAATAAGGTGGAATCTCAGCTATGAATGATTTGCTAAATTTATATATTTCTTTTTTAACCACGGACTTGGATTAAAGCGACGGAAAGATTTTTAAATAGTATGTAATTATTTAATTTTTTTAAACTCACTCATTCTAAGATTAATAAACTTTTGGCTTATTTTGCAACAGTTTCTTATTTTCCACTAAAGGATTTAAAATTTTAAACGTTATAAAAATTGTTTGAATTACCCGCTAGTTAGTATTTTTCTATAGTTCAGGCATATTTAGTATATGTTAGGCGACGTCAGCTGGCAACACTGACCGATTTGTTTTGAAACAGCTGACCGCACCGTCAAAACGTAAAAAGTAAACAACAAAAAAAACATTTGCCGGGCAACGTCGGCGAACATATGGGAGTGTGTGGGTGTGTGTGTGCGTGCCAGTCAGTCTGCCCGTCTGTGTGAGTAGCGAGAGATTTCCTTGGAATATCGGGCGAATTGGAAAATAGATGTTTTTACAGCTGATTGATATTGAAAAAGCAACGCTGCGACACGCAGTTCGAGGCGAAAGAGCGTGTAAAAGAACAAACAAAGTATGAAAGGCAAATATCACACTCACACAAGCGACCAGCTGTTCATTTCGCCTTTGGCTTTTGAAGTGCGTCGAAATTAAAGTGGCTGAAAACCTGGAGAACGTATATACCTTTGGACAAATAACAGTTATTTTATGGTGATTTCGGGCAAAAAGTGGGTGGCCGCAAACGTCATCGAAAGCCGCATTTCGCCCCCTCCGTTCTGTTTGTTGTTGTGTTTGCTGTTGCTTTTCAATTCGCCCCATCTCTCTCGCTCGTTCTCACCGCTCATTCTTTCTGCAGCCACCAATTGTCATGGTGTTAAGAGAAGAGGAAGCAGCAGCCCGTGAGCACATTGTGCGCTAGTTTTTGCCGATTTACACCCAGAAATCGGGCCGATATCGCCCTGAAAGCCCTACCAATCGACAGGTGACGTTGCTACCTGTAATTTGCGATCAAAAACTAAAAGCTAACCCAAAGGGAACCGAGTGAAAAACGTGGCGGAAAAATCCATACGAAGACGGAATGGAAAAAATGTGGTATGTAGGCAGCACTAGAAGTAGAGAATGTGACATGTGTGTGTGCCAGAGTGTGTGTGTACGGCTGAGTGTGTGTGCGGGGTGCTGCGCTGGGCATTTTCTTTATAAAGGGGAGCCCACGAATAAGAAAAAAGACCAACTGTTTTTTGGGCGTGCGCCTCCAACTGCCGGCTAAAGAAAATATATAATAAAAATATTGCATGCCGGTCCAGCTGACGGAGCAGCTGCAGCAAGAAGAAGACTGATAGGAGGGGGTGGTGGAGCATCTTGGGGAAAATTATAAAAAAGGGGGAGGAGGCTTCTGATAATGCGCACTTTATATAATTGCAGCTACCTGTCAGCCATCTCTAATGGTATGCGTTTCTATCTCCGTCTGTGTGGGTGGGCGGTTAACTGGTAAACAATTCCTGCCAAATTTCAATTCATGGGATTTCTGCGCTGACGTCACTCGCATTTCATTTGCAATCACTCCGATTTGATTTATCTCAAGTGTAAAGTCGAGCTTCAGGCTCAGTAACTCGTACTGGCACAGTAGTCCCTCTGTAGGTAAAAATCTAAATGTACAGATATTATTTAACAAATTTTTAAAAGTAATTAAAAGTATCTGGAATTGTAAGGTATTGTATTTACCAATTTGTTCTTTTTTTCCTTATGCAAAGAGAAAAACACTCGCCATGATTGATTAGGCACTGATAACATATTTTGTAAAAACGTAGTATTACAAAAAATCTAAAATCAATGTGCCAGTCTAAATTTATTTCTGAATTAAAAGATGATGACGGATACAACTTATTGTTGCGTAATTAACTAAATTGTCAGTATAACAGTTAAGCTAAATTTATCAAATAAATATTTCTTGTGTGATCCATTTATTTTATTTTGTGGTTATAAAACCGCAAAATGTGTTAGACAGCATTTTTGATTATTTTTTAAACTCAAAACAAAGTATGTATATGTCCCACATAATTATTTACTTGCCTCATTTAAGTGCTCTCTTTCGAGGGACCACTGTATTTTTAATTTTTATATGTTCGCGTGTTGCATGTGCCGAGAATTTTTGTTAGCCCAGGGGAGTCGAAAGCTCGAGTCAAACGTTGCCAGATTGCCCATAAGGGATGCTGTGACTTTGCACGTGATCGGTTCAGGTTGTGGAGCAGAGACTGTTGCAAGGGTGTGGTTTTTGTATTGCAGCACTTTTTATAGAAAGACTACCATCTAAAAGTCGCATGATAACTACACGCCCTTATCGGCGTATCAATTAACCCAGATATGGGAACACGGAACTTGATTCGCGGGTGATAAGACTGCGGTTCCAAACTTTCCCCGCTGACGGCAGGAATTCCAGGGAAGAATTGCAATCGTCTTGGGTCAGCTTTTGGCGACGTCATAGTTTGATGACCTCCAGACGCTCACACACCCAAATGCCCACCAATACTCGGACAATTATGCACGTCCGTGTGCACATGCTCCAAAAGAGGCAATGGCGGCCATCGAAGACGACGCTGTCTCATGGCTTTTTTCTCCATCTCCATGTATTGGGCGACGTATATTTCTCGAGTCTGCAGTTTTTATTTTTCTCTTTTCCATTTTATTTTTTCTGTTTTTATTTTTTTTTTATTTTTGTATTTGGTTACTTTGATTTCGCTTGGCCTTCGGGGCGCTGTCTTGGTCTCTTGGTCGGGTCTTTTGTGAACCAGTTGCTCTAAGCGCCTCTGTTACCTGTTCGCCCCTGTTTGGTATACACATCGTTTTGTGCTGCCATAGTTTGTACCAAATTCGATATATCATTACGGAAGCAGTGATTTGTTCATTCCTTTTTGTTTTCCCCCTGTCGCCAAAGAAAATTCCAATCTTTTCCATAAATGCAATTGTCGCACTGACAGCTTTGATTCGAGTTCGTTCGTTTATCTGTTGCTTCGGCGATAAGGCCTTCAAAAATGGGGAAATTGAGGTCATTCTTAGTTGGGTTTTATTACATGGAATAATGATTTTTATTAGAGCATTTTTTTTTTAAAAAATTTTTTTTGGGGGGAAAAAAAAACCTTTTTTTTTATATAAATTTTTTTTTTTTAATTTTTTTTTTATTTTTAATAATCCGAATTTTGAAATGCCCATAAGCCTTTGCATAGCTCCATGTTTACGACATTACTTAGCATTTATTTTGGATTATATGATCTATATTTCAAGATCATATCTGATGTATGAAGATTTAATGAAAATACAATAAAGCAGGAATTATATATCTTTTAGCCTGGAAGATCTTACCTAAGCCATAAATATTTTAAATAAATTCCCAAAAAGCATTGATAAGCTTAAAGACCAAACCATAAAAATCTATTTATAAATCACGGACCTGACTTTTAGACCGTCTGGCAACTCCAACGCAAAGCTCATCAAGTGGCTTATACAATAGCCCCAAAAAAAATAAAAATTATCACGCACACTCGCTTCGACATCAAATAAAATTGGCGCACTTGCTCCAAGCAATATATACACCGATTTTTGGACAGGCTAATACTTTTCATAATATATTAAACACTTGAATTCCATTTTTTATTGTGGACTGGCCACTTTGGGTCATCGCTTGCCCGCCGATCGTATCGTGTTTGTTTTTATCATGTGCTGCCTTTTTTTATATTTTCGAGTGACTTTGTGTGTGTATTAAGTTGTTGTTGCACTTTTATAACAGACCAAAAGGGGGGCCACATGAGGAGGCATGTCTCCATGCCAGAAACACACGCTCGCACACTCGCTGGCATAAAATACTTAAGCGAAACGAGTTAAAAGCGATTTCATTAATATGTTTTTGTTGCTGATTTCCTCCGCTCGGTGTGTTGTTAGTGTGCTGGCCGCTGCTGTGGCTGGTGTTTTTTTTATTATTTTTTAATCTCTGCCCTTGCCTTCTGATACCCTTTGCTTTAATTAGACAGAGAAGTGGTAGATGGTATTTTGTGGTCTTTTTGTTGCTTACGGGATCCCAGCGAGTCATTAAAATTGTCAATTGTTTACTGCATAATAATAAGAACTAAACCTTTAAAGTGTAAGCGATAATAATTAGTTTAAGAGCAGTTGAACTTTGTGACTAGTGAGATAATTCAAAAGTTCCAAAGTAGCAATCTCAAAGATAACATACAAATTTCCATAGCTTTTTAAATCTTTAATTTAAATATACTTCATAAGGTTATTTATATCGTATCTTATCTCGATGATTGAAAATCTTTAGATAGAAACCTCTAGCTAAAAGATAATCTTATCCAAAAAAAGTGTATTAAGATTCGTTTTTGCTGACTCTGACTAGCTGCTTAATTTTGTATTCTTTCTTATTTTGTTGTTGATTTTTTGTCAGTGCTGTTGGCTGGTTTCTGTTGGGCTTTTGGTTTGCCTGGCTATTTTTAAAAATTTTGCGCGAAAGCAACAAAAAAGTAAAATTAAAGAACGAAGCGCAAAGAAAAGAAAAGACGAGGCAACGCGAAGTCGGCGCAGTGGCATCAGCAATTGTTGTTGCTGCTGTTACTGTTGATGTTGCTGTTGCTGTTGCTGCTGCGTTGGCCGCATAAAAAATGTGGAATATGGAATTTCTCTGCGAGGCCCCACATTTACCCACACGGTCGCACAAGAATCACACACAGATACGCAATCCGAGTCGCGACTTTTGTGGCTTTTTGTGCGTGCAAATTGGAGCAAAAAGGGGAGAAAAGAAAAAGGGGTAGAAGAGAGAGAGAAAGGGATGTGTGGATTGTATATAACAAAGATTCAGATACTCTTTTGCAGCTTTATAGATGTTTATTATAATTGTATTTTAATTGAATTATACAATATAGTATGCGAAATGCATTGGTGTGATAAAAATATCTTTTTCATTCTACACTTTGATGTTAAAAATTTTGAAAATTTAGGAAGTTTAAGATGCCTTTAACTGAATAAACTATTTATTTCACATTTTTGTGTCTAAGTATTTGATATAATTATAAAAAATTCGTGATGTCATTTAAATCTCTTAAAAAGGGCTCTAAAAGTACGGAAGGAAAATGTTGCCGAACTTTCTTTATACTTAATTTTTTTAAGTATTCAGAAATTGGTAAAAACCTGAATCCACTTAAAAAAGCGACTTTAATAGTACTACAAAATCTTAAAGTTAATTTTTAAAAACCGATTTAAAAATTTTCAAATGTCTTTTTGCAAGGGTATAATAATAAAAGTCTGGCCAGTTTTTACGTTGACTGCGTGAATGTGCTCCGCCTCCGTTCGCTTCAGCGTCATCGATTTCCTGCTGCATTTGGACCCCGAATGGTGCAAGGGGTGGGTGGTTGCGTATGACAACTCATTTGTTGTTGTCCAATGGCTCGTTTGTGGGTGACGTCGTCACTTGATGACAGCTACAAAAACGGCAGCAGGAATAATCCATTCCCATTCTCAACTCCGGAACCAATTAGGTCACATTGGCGTCGTGGCAGCTTCTTCATTCTCCACTAATTCGCTTTTTCACTCCCTTTTCGCAAAACATTTCATTCGCTTGCCTCTTTCTCCTCAACTCTGTTTTTTTTTTATGTCACAAAGCAACTTTGCACTTCATTGATAAAATGATTAATCGTTATGATTAATGTGCGGGGGTGTGAAAGAGAGAATAAACATAAATACACTGAAAAAATTTATAATCAAGCTGTAGCTCTACAAAAGTATCCTTTTGTGATATAATTAATACAAAGAAGTAGCAGTTCAAATAAAAACACAGTTTTTCTTGACTAAATAAAAGTATTTATAAATTGAAAAGAATAAATCGAAACATTAAACATTGCAAACTATTTTTCTTCCTCTGTAACATGCTTCATTCTGAGCTTTATGTGTGTCACCTAGACGGTGAAGCGTAAAAGCGGATGTTTAAACGATTTATAAGCAGACACCACATTCCCTTTTGGGGTCTAATGCGGATTTGATAACGAATTTTGGGTTCATCCGAGGTCGCTTTTGGGTCTGAAAATTGTTGCGGCTAAAGTTTTATT